GCAGATCTCCGTGAGTTCAAGGCCAGCCTGGTCTACAAAGCAAGTTCAGGACAACCAGGGCTACACAGAGAAACCCTGTCTTGAAAAACCAAAACAAACAAACAAACAAACAAAAACAAAACCCAAAAAGGAGCCAGCAAGATGGCTCAGTGGGTAAAGGTGAATGCTGATGGGCCTGACCATCCGAGTTGGATCCCTCGGACCCACATGGTAGAAGAGACTCCTAGAAGTTGGTCTCTGACCTCCATCCACCCCCTGCCCTCTCAATAAAGAAATGGGGTGGGGGGAGCTTTCAACAACAACAAAAAAAAATAAAAATGGAACTTTTGGTACGAATGGGCTCCTCCACTGTCCACTCCACACAACAGAGGGAACCGCAGAGTAAGCAGTGGGCTCCGTCTGGCCAGCTCTGATGCACACCGTCAGCAGAGGCTGGCAGGTGCGCAGTGATGGTCCCAGGTGCACCCATTTCTGTCCCACCAAATGATGTAAGTGCTGCATCTCCGGGGTCTCTGTGGAGACAGGCAGACTGTGCTGGCCCACAGAGTGCTACTGTTCCAGATGGCCTACTCTTGCCCCTCTAGCAGGAAACTGGTGGTCTCGGGCTGTGACTGGGAAGCCTGTGTGGGCAGTTCTTAAGCAATCTGAAATGGCACTTAGACACTTCATTAAAATATTGTTCCCTTGGGGCTGGAGATAGCTCAGTGGTTAAGAGCGTCAGCTGCAGCCGGGCAGTCGTGGCGAGCATGCCTTTAATCCCAGCACTCGGGAGGTAGAGGCATGAGGATCTCTGTGAGTTCAAGGCCAGGCTGGTATACATAGCAGTCCCAGGACAGGCTCCAAAGCCACACAGAGAAACCCTGTCTTGAAAACAACAACAACAAAAGCGCCAGCTGCTCTTCCAGAGGACCCAGGTTCAATTCCCAGCACCCACATGGCAACTCACAATCACCTATTACCAGGGATTCTAACTCCCTCTCCTCACCTCTGAGGGTACTGCATACACCCATAGACATAAATTAAAAAACAAAAACTACTTGTGCCCATTTGGAATCTATTTATTTATAGACAGGGTCTTCTCATAAAGCCCAGACTATCCTGGAACTTACTATGTAGCAAAGGATGACCTTGAACTCCTGATCCTTCAGCCTCTACCTCCCCTGCTGGGGAAGGAAATGTGGGTTTTCCGAATGTCAGGCAAGCGTCATATCAACCGGGCCACATCTCCAGATGGCCTGGAACTCATGACCACTAAGTTCTGCCTTTTAAATAAACAAGCAACGTCAAGAGAGAAAATGACCTTTTCCAGCTCTGGGTACAGATGTGGTAGATTTACAATGATGTGACCAGCAAAGCTTCCTTTGCTCTTTATTATATTCTGTGGATTTCTGTTCTATTTTCAGAGACAGGGTTTCACCAGGTAGTCCTTGCCAGACTGGAACTCCCTATGTCGACCAGGCTGGCCTTGGACTCAGAGATCCATCATTTCTGCCTCCTGAGTGCTTTATGTTGTTTTAAGTATATAACATACATGTTTACTATGTATGTGCCACAGCACAGGTGTGGAGGTCAGAAAAGAACCTTTGGGAGTCACTTCTGTCCTTCCAACATGCAGAATCCAGACATTAAACTCAGGCTGACTGGCAGGCTACGAGCACCCTTATCACTGAGCCATCTCTCCGGGACTTGTTTTTGGTGACAGGGACTCATATAGCCCAGGCTGGTCTCAAACTCACTATGTAGCTAACAAGGACCTAACAGGTATATGCTACCCATTTGGATTCTCGTTTTCTTTTTACTGATTTCTGTGGCTACCAGACAATGCTAACTACATACGTGCTTCTCCCTCTCCCCCCCCTCTCTCTCTTCAGTGCTGGGGATGGAACCCTGGGCCCTGAGCACACCTGGCAAGAATCCTGTCACTGAGCCGTATTCCCAGCTTTTGTAGTATTTTTTTTAGTATTAGTCTCGATCACTGGTTCTCAACCTGTGGGTCATGACCCCTTGGGGACTGTCAAACAACCTTTTGACAGGGGTCACCCGAGACCACTGGAAAACACAGATATTTACGTTACGATTCATAACAGTAGCAAAATAAGTTATGAAGCAGCAATGAAATTTTTTTTTTTTTTTTTGGTTTTTCGAGACAGGGTTTCTCTGTGTAGCTTTGAGCCTTTCCTGGAACTCACTTTGTACCAGGCTGGCTTCAAACTCAGAGATCTGCCTGGCTCTGCCTCCCGAGTGCTGGGATTAAAGGAGTTCGCCACCACCACCCGGCTGAAAATAATTTTATGGTGGGGGTCACCACAACACGAGGAACTGTATTAGAGGTCACAGCCTTAGGAAGGTTGAGAACCACTGGTCTAGACAGTCTGATACTTCAGTTGGCTAAGGACTGTCTCTACTGTCTGGTGCCACAGGCCTTACATCTGATAAAACAAGTTCATGACAGCAGGTGCTTTTGTACAAATGTCTGGAACCGAGTTCCATAAAACAACCAACCAAACCACCACCACCACCAACAACAACAAAAACCAGGGCTGGTGGCACACACCGACCGACGGGAAAGACGGCAGGATCAGAATTTAAGGTCATTCTTGGCTATATATAAAGTCCAAGGCTTCGCTTAGGGTAGTGAGACGTGCCGTTAGTACTGCACAGCAGGGCGCCCCGTTCGTCAAGTTCAGGCATCACTTAGACAGGTTGGGACTCTGAGACACACGCCCCTCAGTTTCCATAAATAAAAATCTCTACCTCTGCCTGGTAGCTCACACCGGTCATTCCGGCACTTGGGAAGCTGAGGCAGGAGGATTGCGGAAAGTTCAAGAACTGTGGGGCTGCACAGTGAAACCCAGGGCTGGGAATGGGACTCGGTCGGCAGAGTGCTTGCTTAAGCCTACACGAAACCGCGAGTTCCATCCCCAGCGCTGCTTTACGACAGACCGTAAGGCGCGCCTGTCATCCCACGGAGGCAGGAGGAGCAGCGGTTCAAAGTCACCCTCTGCTACACAGAGGGTTCGAGACCAGGCGGGGTCACCCAAGACCCTGTCTCAAAAAAACAAAGTAGTTTCAAAATGAGAAAGAAAAAGAAAATCTGGCTCCAGGGGTCGAACGGCACCTTCGGGGTCCCCCCCCCCCCCCGAGACCCAGCCGGAAGCCGGGTGCCTGGAGCTCAGCCCGCCCTCCCTCGCCATCGCCTCTCCGCTCGCGTGACTATGGCCGCGCGCTCACCACGGCAGCTCGTAGTGGCCGGCGCCGCCCGCGGTCCTGCTGGGGACAGCCGAGGGCTCCTGCGCCCCACTCTCGGCCGCGCCGCAGCCGATCTCCTGCACCTCCATCCCGGCGCCCGCTCTTCCCGCCACCCGAAGCTCCGCCCCGTGACGTTTACACGGAAGTCTCGGCCCTGGTTTCCGGGCAACCCTGGGAGGGGACCGGAAGTGGGAGTGGGGTGAGGGGCGGGGGAGGACGGTCTCTTCCCGCGCCTGCGCAGAGAGCGCAGCGTAGCCACGCCACTGGCCGCTAGAGGCCGCTGTGGCCACAGGAGATCGCGTTCGAGGGGCGAGGAAAGGTGAGGATGTTGCCATCCAGGGGAATGTCTCCAGGAAAGGACGTTTGTGTCATCTTATTGTATTTTATTTAATTGTGTTCTATTTCATTTCGTTCCGTTTTTATTTTCACGTTTTTGGTTTCTAGAAACTGAGTAAGTGTTACTGCTCTGAATCCCAGCCTGACCCACAAACGAGTGGCCATCCTCCTGCCTCAGCTTCCCGGGCGATAGGATTACTTTTTTAAGAATTACTTCATTCGCGCGAGTGTTTTGAATATGCACCACGTGCATGTCATCTTGGAGGAGTGTGTTGGATCCCCTGGAGCTGGAGTTAGACTCTTGCGAGCAGTCATGTAGGTGCTGGGAATTAAATCCAGGTCTCTGCGAGAGTCTAGTAGTTTGGTTTTGGTTTTGGTTTTGTGTTTTGATACAGAGTGAGTTCCAGGACAGCCAGGGCTACACAGACAAACCCTGTCTTGAAAACAAAAACAACTGCCTATAACTAGTTCCTCTGGTCTCTGTGGGTAACTAGACCCTTGTAAACACACACTCATACACATACTTAAACTTTTACTTATGTGTCTGTGTCTGTGTGAGTCTATGCCCCCCATGTGTGGGTGCCCATAGAGGCAAGAAGAGAGCAACTAGAGTTATAGGCAATTGTGAGCTGCCCAATGTGGGTGTGGGGACCCAACCTCAGGTTCTCCAGAAGGGAAGCAACTGTTCTTCAGCCCTGAGCCGTCTCTTCAGCCCAATAATGATAAATTTTCATTTTGGGAACAGGATCTCACCATGTAGCTCCAGCTGGCCTAGAACTCACTATGAGACCAAGGTGGCCTTGAACTCACATTGATTCAATCGCCCTGCCTCCTGATGCTGGAGTAAGAAGCAACCAGACCCGCCTCTCACAATATTTTTTTTTTTTCTCGAGATAGGGTTTCTCTGTGTAGCTTTGCAACTTTCCTGGAACTCACTCTGTAGCCCAGGCTGGCCTCGAACTCACAGAGATCCGCCTGACTCTGCCTCCTCAGTGCTGGGATTAAAGGCGCGTGCCACTACCTCATGGCCTCATTTTTTTTTTTTTTTCAAATTAAAGAACTGAAGTGGAGAGACACTGAGGAATACATCTTAACGTTAACCTCTGGCTTCCACAATACCCTGCATAGATGAGTGGGCCTGTGTACACACATGTACATAACACGCAACTTACGTGTTAAGTATATAAATAAAAATTGAACAAATAGGCATTTTCCGGGTCTGGAGAGATGGCTCAGTGGTTGAGAGCACTTGCTGCCCTTGCAGAGGTCCAGAGTTTGGTTTCTAGCACCCCCATCAGGCTGCTCACAACCACTTGTAACTCCAGCTCCCAGAGGATGCCAACACTCTTCTCTAGTCTCTGAGGGCACCTGTACCCACCCGCACATGGACACACATGAAAACATATAATGAAAAATAAATTATTATTATTATTATTATTATTATTATTTGGTTTTTCGAGACAGGGTTTCTCTGTGTAGCTTTGCGCCTTTTCTGGAATAAATATGTTTTTAAAGGATACTTTCTAGGCCCCGGGCTTGGTGGCACAGGCCTTTAATTCCAGCACTTTGGGAACAGAGGCACCTGGATGTTTGTGAGTCCAAGGCCAGCCAGAGCCAGACATAGTGAGACTCCTATCACAAAAATTCAAAAAATAAAATAAAATTAAAGATACTTTCTGGCCAGGCATGGCCATGCACACCTGTCATCCTAACACTAGAGATGCAGAGACCAGAGGATAATGAGTTCTAGACCAGCCTGGGACTACATAAAGGGAGCCTCTGCCTGAACAGAATAACAACAAAAAAAGCCGACAGGAGACACATACCTCAGCACTTGGGAGATGGAGGCCAGCCTGAGATACACAAGACTCTGTCTCAGAGAAATAACAGGGTTTGTGTTAGAAGCCTCGGGTGTGGGGGGCTGATGTTTCCCCCAAGGTGGCATTTCTGAGCATTGAAGCTGGTGATTTCCAAGTGGGCTTGCCCTACCGATAGCAAGCTCAGCAGAGCACTCGTTCACATACAAACTCGCCTGCTTGTCTAGACACATTCCACCAAGCGCCTCTGCTAAGCACAAAGGTTTTCATTTGAACTCTTTAGTTGAACATTGACAGTTTTGAATTGCCGGCCTGGCTTTTCGTTTTTTTGTTGTTGTTGAGACAAAGTCTCTCTAGGTAACCCTGGCTGACCTGGACTCACTATGGAGACCAGGCTGGACTTGAACTCACAGAGCTTTCCCCTGCCCCCGCCTTTGGAGTGCTGAGATTAAAGGCTGCGCCACCACTCCTGGTCATTCTTTGTCTTCTATAATAATAAGAAAGCAAGGACAGAACTTTCCCAGATGGGCACAGAGGACAGATTTTATGTCCCAAGAGGGGCTGGGGTGCGGCTCAGTGGTAGAGCCCCTGCCTAGAATCCCCCAGTGAGGGGCTGGGGTATGGCTCAGTGGGAGAGCCCCTGCCTAGAATCCCCCAGTGAGGGGCTGGGGTATGGCTCAGTGGGAGAGCCCCTGCCTAGAATCCCCCAGTGAGGGGCTGGGGTGTGGCTCAGTGAGAGAGCCCCTGCCTAAAATCCCCCAGTGATGAGCTGGGTTGTGGCTCAGGATACCATTTGCCTAGAAACCCAGACTGACCTCAAAGTCACTATGCCATTTAGGATGGCCTTGAACTTTTGATCCTCTTGCCTCTTGCTCGTGTGTGCTGGGATTACAAGTGTGTAGCACCATACACACATCCCTTTTAATATTTGTTTTTATGTCTATGTCTGCATATGGTCTAACTGGGGCTGTCCACCTGTACGGTGGGGGTGTGCCCTTGGATGCCAGAAGAGGAAATCCTATCCTCTGGAGCTGGAGTTGCAGACAGTTAGGAACTGAGAACTGAACTCGGATCCTCTACAAAAGCTGCAAGTCCCCTTAACACAGAGCCAGCTCTCCAGATCTCTTTCTTGAGACTCATTTTATTATTATTTTAGTGTGTGTGTGTGTGTGTGTGTGTGTGTGTGTGTGTGTGTTGTGTGTGTATGTATGTGTGTGTGTGTGCGCGTGTGTGTGCAATGGGCAGTGGAGGTCAAAGGCATTGGATCCCGTGCAGCTGGAATTGCACATGGTTGTGGGCTGACGTTATGTGCTGCCAAGAGAACTCAAGACCTCTGCAAGAACAGCACATGCCCTTACCTGTGAGCCATCTCTCCAGCCTCCCAGCCCTTTTAAGTCATGGCTGGGCACCCACCCCAGGGCTCCATGCATCCTTGAATCCTAGCACTGTGATCCATGAGCCACATCCCCAACACCTCGGCCGATATTTCTTGTGCTTATTCTCTCTAATCCCAGGAGTCTCTGTGTGTGGGCTTCATTAGCTGAAGAATTCACAGTGAGCCCTTTGGCAGGGGAGTCCTGGCCTGCCGAGGCATGTGCGCACGCAGGGACGCACAAGCTCACCACGTTCTCTGCTGCCCTGAGGGTGAGCATTCCAAGAAGGCAGAGTCTTACAGGAAGTAATATTTTCCTCATACCTAGCTTGTTAGGTGCAGGGCGTAAATGTGTAAAACTTAGCTACTCTTCCAGATCCCAAACAGACTTCAATTTTGGTGCCTTTTTGTTTTTTTGTTTTTGTTTTTCAAGTAGTCTTACTGTGTAGCCCAGGTTGGCTTCAAAATTGTGATCCTCCTGCCTCCATCTCCTGAGAGGTAGTATGACAGGATCGCTGGAGTCCAACTGACTAGGTTTTAGTTGATCATCTTGGGTGCATGATGGAGCAAGCAGGCTGAGGGTGGAGCTCAAAAGGGAAGAAATCACTAATACAAAGGATCTACGGCCAAGGGCGCCGTGGCCCATGCTGAAGTCTCCGCTACCCAAGGGGCTAAGACAGCAGGATGGCGAGTTCAAAAGCAGCCTGGTCACCTTAGCCGGCTCCATCTCAAAACTAAAAGGGGAGAGCTGGTGTGACGGATCGGTGGGTGGCACTCGCCACCAAGCCTGAAGACTGGAGTTTGATCCCAAGGACCCACATGGAGGAAGGGGAGAAGCGACCCCGCTACCACGCTTCGGTGTGTGCACGCACACATCTAAATACATGTAAATAAGTAAACGGTGGACAGGTCTGAGGATTTAGCTCCGCGGTAGAGCACTTCCCTGACGTCCCCCAGAGAGGAGCGAGGGGCGTGGCTCAGCAGCTGCGTGTTTTGCCTAAAGGAAGCCTCAAGTCCGATCCTCAAACAACAGACCACAAACGTACTCACTCATGCTGGGCTTAGCGCTAAACATGCCTGGCAGTTACCCGAGATCTGTTGCATGTCTCATTCCAAAGGTTTTTGGAAACTTGAAGGGTTCTGTTCAGGACTTGGTTTTCCATTCTATCTTTTTCTCTGTGTGTCTTACCAGGGGTTGGGCCAGGCCTTGTCTAGGCCAGCGCTCTACCACCGAGTACTGCCCAACTTTCTTTGCTCTTCTTGTTTTTATTTTATGTGTGTATTTTACCCACACGTATGTCTGTGCACCACACGCATGCAGTGCTCTGGGAAAACAGAAGAGGGCATTGGATCCCCTGGAACTGAAATTACAGGTGGTTGTGAGCCACCATGTGGGTGCTGGGATTTGAACCTGGGTCCTCTGGAAGAGCAGCCAGTACTCTTAACTGCTGAGCCATCTCTCCAGCCCCCCCCTTCACTCCCACCCCTATTCTTTATTTTTATTTCATGAAAGGGCCTCACTAAGTTGCCTAGGTTGTTTTTTATCTTGTTATTTATTTATAAATTATTGTTGTTGTTGTTGTTGTTGATATTATTATTTTGTCTCATTATGTAA